AAAGGAAGGGTTAAGAAGTACATTTCATTTCCTAATTTTGCTAATTTTTTTTTTCCTAACTCAATAGCTGAACTTGAACTTATTTACAGTCTACTAAATCCTGGATTCTTCTATGACTTCATTTAAACTATAAATGGAATTATCCTACTATCATTTAATACAGCTTATCCAAATTCCACAAGTGCCTCATTTTAAGCTAACATACTCTCTTGAAACAAAACATAATGTTTCTATTAACATTGACTCTGTGCTAGATGTAGTGGCAAATGCCTGTAATGACAGCACTTGGAAGGACAGAGCAGAAGCCTATGTCAGCTGTGGCTCCATAAGACCATATCTCGAACAAACAAAAATACAGAAAAAGAACAAGAAGTTTAACTGTATAAATCATGGCAATATATTTTTGGGGTTTTTTATTGCTGATTTTGGGTTTGTTTTTTTTTTTTTTTTTGAGACAGGGTCTTACTATGTAGCCCTGGCAACCCTGGAACTATGTAGATCGGGCAGTCTTAAATTCACATTATCTCCTGCTTCTGCCTCCTGAGTGTTCAAGTTAAAGGCATGAGCCACCATACCCTGTGTTTTCTAAACCTTATCTTGCAGCAAGTAAAAAAAAACATAATATATATAGAATGCAACAAATTAATCATTTCAAAATGGTGGTTTTAAAATGCAGTAAGAAACCAACCTCTCTAAGGGAATATCTCTGCCATAAGAGCAGAGGGTGACTATCTGCAGGGAGGAAACGGAGAAGGGCAGTAAGTACAAAGCACAATGACACGTTAAGTATGAAAATGGCACTACAGCCTATTTCTTTGTATGCAACCAAAAACTACAAAAAAAGAGTCATCGTGCATATAATCCCAACACTCAGATGGAAGAGGGCAGAGGATCACCCCGGTTCAAGACCAGCCTTGTACACACACCATGTTCTAGGCCAACCAGGGCCACATTGCTATACCCCGTCTCAAAAAAGGAAAGAAAAAAAAAGGAAATGCAAACTAGAGAATGTCAAAGATGACAACAAACCTGACTCTTTGATAGATTCAGTCTTCAATAACTGTCTTCTCTTTTCTGACTGCGTTAGCATTTCTTCCTCTTTTTCCTTACTGTTTTTGGGAACTGGGATACTTTCAAAATAACCTGAGTTCAGGAGTTTAGACAGTAGATCTTTCACATGTTTGTCTAAGAAAGAACAATTAGACTTAGTTAGCACATAACCTAATCGTTCACTGAAAATTATGGGGAATAAGAATCCCAGTGTTGTGCTTATGGTCTGTCATCACAGCAGTCACCAGTGGGGAGACTCAGAATTGTTTGTGCCATAAAAAGGAAGAGCGACTACTCTTACTTTACTACATCTTTACTCCTACCTGAATCAGTACACATAAAAAGACTAGATTAAGGCTTATCAAATTACTTAAATTTCTCTGAACCTCCACTGCCACATTTGGAATATGACTAAAACTCAAGGAACCTAATCAAAAACCATGACAGAGGCACACATTTCCTGAGCTGAGGGACAAGATATTCTAACTGGCCACTACTTTGTGTTTCCCATTAATTAAGGCTTTGGAGAAATGAAACCCTGTTCTCAATCACAGCCACAGGTCTTACATTGGACACCCCATCTTTGTTGTTGGTCTATTTGGTTATTTGAAGTCAGGGTCTCTCTGAATAGCCCAAGCTGGACTCAAATTGGTGACCCTCCTGCTTTAGCTGCCCAAGTGCTGGAATGACAGGTTTAAGCCACCAGACCTGGCTTAAGTATTTTTAAATTACAAAATTCCCTAATTAAGAGTTCACTCAAGTTATGTTGTAGGTCAGTCCCAGAACACCGCCATTAGATGGCAACACAAAAAACCTCAAAAGCAATTTTGTTGTTGTTCTTTTTTGAGACAAGGTCTCCCTGTGGCCCCAGCTGTCCTGGAACTCACAGAGATCCGCCTGCCTCTGCCTCCCAAGCACTGGAACTAAAGGCGTGCGCCACCTATACAAAGTGTGGGTCTAGCTGGGCGTGGTGGCGCACGCCTTTATTCCCAGCACTTGGGAGGTAGAGGCAGGCAGATCTTTCTGAGTTCGAGGCCAGCCTGATCTACATAGTGAGTTCCAGAACAGCTGGAGCTACACGGAGACCCTGTCTCAAAAAGACAAAAAAAAAAGGTATAGGTCTAAATATACTTCATTTTAAATATCCAATAAAAACCCAACTCCAAACCAGGCAAAATGCCAATACTTGATCTGGGTCTATTATTCCTTTTTTTTTTTTTTTTTTTTTTTAATTTTATGTGTACGAGTGTATTGCCTGCATGTATGTGAGTGCACCCGTGTCGTGCAATGCCTCGGAGGTCAGAAGAGGGCTTCAGATTCCCCTGGAACTGGAGTTAGAGATGGTCTGTAACCGCCATGTAGGTGCTGGGAATCGAACCCGGGTCCTCTGCAAGGGCAGTCAGTGCTCTTAGCCACTGAGCCAACTCTCCAGCCCCTATTATTCCTTTTATAGGAGTACCATGACATTGATTTTTGTCTTTTTTAATCAGGTTTTTTTTTTAAGAGACAGGGTCTCACTTTGTAGCCCAGGCTGTCCTCAAACTCAGCAATCCTCCTGTCTCAGTCTTCCCAATGCTGGGATTACAAGCATGCACCACCACACCAGGCTTTAATCAGCTTTTAGGTATTACTTACAAAGAAAAATATTTCAGGTACTTCAAGTGCACAGTTTTAACAGATTTTAGTCACGCTACCACCACCAGAATCACAACTTCAAAGCATTTCATCAACTCCCCTAACCCCTCAAGCCTAAGATTAGTCCCTGGCCTGACAACCAAGGACCTTCTCCAGAATTTCATAAAGTTAATTCATACGCTATATATTCAAGTTTTATTTGGCTTCTTTTACTAGGCATAATTACTTTGAGATCCATCATGTTCCTCTATGTATTAACAGTTCAATAACCCATTCTCTTTTTTTGTCTTTTTGAGACAGGGTCTCCCTGTAGCCCCAGCTGTCCTGGAACTCACTATGTAGACCAGGCTGGCCTTGAACTCAGAGAGATATGCCTGCCTCTGCCTCCTGAGCTCTGGGGTTAAAAGTGTGTGCCACCACAACCAGCTCATGTACAGGTTCTTAAAGTCGTGGCCAGTCAACAGGTATATGCTTTATTTTCTGAGAAAGTGCCAAATTATTTTCCAAAACATTAAAAAAATCTTTTTCTAAGACAGGATTTGCTATGCTACCTAGGCTGGCCTTGAACTCCTAGGCTTAAGCAACTCTCCAATATCAGCCTCCTGAGTAACTAGGACTATAGGTGCATTCCACTGTTCCTGGCTCAAAAAATAAATCTTCACTTGTAATTTAAGTTTAAATAGAGTTAGAAGTCTTGACTATTATACATACTTGGATATTCTCTTTATGTGTCTGTGTCCGTATGTGTGTGTGACTACACATGCACATGTGTGCACACATACCCTAGAGGCTACGAGTTACTCTTGGGTGTCTTCTTCAACTACTCTTCTACCTTGAGCCAGGGACCCTCACTGATTCAACTAGACTGGCTGAGCAGCAATCCTGAGGGAATCCTTCCTTCTCCACCTTCCCAGGCTGGGATTATAGATAACAGTGTGCCCAGTTTTTTTTACATGTGTGCTAGGTGATCAAACTCAGGTCGTCTTCATGCCTGCGTGGCAAGCACTTTACTGATTGAACCATATTCCCATCCCCATCCTTGGATAATTTTTAAAGAGGAAAAACTTAACTAATGACAAAAATGTCTATTAGCTGCTAGTGAGTTCTCATTATCCTAAGCTATTTACTTCATATTTCTTACCTGGCCATTTGAATGTGCTCATCTGACTGTCCAACAGACAGGCCAAACCACTTGTCGTTTCTTACAATGACTCAAAAGACAAGCCTCAATATTAACAATTTGTGAATTAAAGGTTCTCAAATAGAACATGTATCACTATTCAGAATAGGGAACTGAACCTCAAAATGATTAAACTAGTATTGAAGCCATAACTAGTAGTTTTTATTTCCCGATCATATTGACTTGCCACTTCAAAATTCTGTTAGTTTCCTTTTAGCGAGCAGGAATATACATCAGCTCCAGAAATAAATGGATCATTCCCCCAATGAACACAGTACCGTCAGATACGTGAGTTCTGATGGACTGACAGTTCAGACCCTCAACGTCACACCAACCCTCTAGACAAAGGCTCAGCGTCTACCGCCTGGGTCAGCAGAGCAGACTCACATGTCGTTCCTACCACTGCTTTCTCACGACCTTCCAAGAGGTCCCAAAGGTACAAGGACGACTGTGCCATCTGGTCCTCGACACTGACAGGGAAAAGCAGCAACTTTAGACATACACATGTACACGCAGAACAGTACAATGTACACACTATAACCCATCAACAGTCAAGATATGCAAATACATTGATTTCGCCCTTTTACTCTTTGCAAATAAAAAACTGAATTTTATAAATATTTAAAGTAAAATTGTTTCATTAAAATGACTTTGAAAAAAAAGATTTTATGAACCACTAAGAGGAACAGACCAAGAGTTTAAGCTGCCAGTGCAGTGTCATTAGTTACCAAGTGCCTGTCTCAGGGGAAATAAAAACGCAGTGGAAACATTCAGAGTGTTTAACCTCACTTCACAGAGAGCAGTTTATTTTTCAAACTGAAGAACGTTCCATTCCCTGAGCCCACCACAGTGAGAAGGAGGCAACAAGCAACAAAGAGGTAATGACAGAGGACAGCGTCAGCACAGGCTGAGGCCTACGGCTCTTTAGAGTGAAGTGAGTTCTATCCGGCTTCTGTCTAACACCAGGCCGGCTTTAGTAACAGCAGACCTCTTAGCAGTGCTTCCACACAACTAACAAGAGTTAAGTCAATTAGTATCTATCAAGGCAAAAGCATAAATATCTGTTAGCCAAATTACTCCATCAAAACAAAAATAGTGACTAATTGTAGAAGGAAATATTAGGCAGCCTCACTTTTGCAGAATTTTAAATTGCCAGATCTTTTTTTTTTTTTTTGGTCTTTTTGAGACAGGGTCTCCCTCTAGCCCCAGCTGGCCTGGGACTCACTATGTAGACCAAGCTGGCCTTGAACTCACAGACATCTGCCTGCCTCTGCCTCCCGAGTGCTGGGATTAAAGGCATGCACCACCACGCCCAGCACCAGATCAATTTCTAAGTACTTACTTAATCACAGTATAAGAACATCAAATAATTCTCATTTTTCAAAATTTAACAATACTGACTCAGTTAAATTTTATGTACTTCTACTTAAATACCACAGGAGAAAGAAGGCAAAGAACAAAGAAAATGTGGACTATCTGTATAGGTATCTCAGCATTTGCACAGGGGTTAAAACAATAATCAGGCATTATTTTTTCCAAGACAATATTAATGAGAACATTCAAACTGACTGAATTGCTAAATGATGTCTCAAACATGTCCAGGTTTCCCATACTGAATCCAATTAATGTTGTCTTCATCAATTCCTAACTACACACACAACTGAAAGACTAAAGTGCTGCATGCTGTTTCAGAAAAATTTTCTCACGGCTTACCTCAGACTCTCATTTCTTTCAGGACAGGTCAGTTTTGAGAATTTAATGAGGTAGTCAAGTTCTTTTGAAGGCAAATACACTGCACCATTCAAGCCCCCTGTGAAGTCTTTCTGTACATGTTCTTGTGTTAAGTTCTGCAATACATACTGAATTTGAAGTACAGTTCGAAGCTTTTTCTTTTCAGCCTCAAGTTTTAGCATGTGCTCCCTTCTCTGGGCCTTTTTCTGGGCTTTCAATAGCTGTTAAAACAAATGCAGGTTCACGTCTCTATCACCCAAGTTAGTTATTTATATGTTATAAAATCTAACCCCAAATAGCTGGGACACATTTCACAACTCACAAGGTGAACAGCTTAATCTGTTTCTTTGACACTGAGTAATAAAATGGCTTATTGAAGTAACCAGAGTCAAAATTGCTGACTCTCCTAATTATACTGCTATCTCTAACACCAAAGTACCAACAGAGATGTCCACACTAGTCCAAGATTTTAAGCTGAGTGTAGCGGTGCATGCCTATAATCCCAGTGTTTGGGACGGGAAGGTAGGAGGATCTAGAGTAGAGTCATCCTTGAGTCTCAGTCAAGGTCAGCTTGGGCTGCAGGAAACCTTCTCAAGAGGTCTTACTTTTCTTTATTTGTATTAAAATCTGTTAGAGTAACTGTTCCAAGAATATTTTAGTTTAATTGGGAGTTCCTTTATTTTCAGGGGGAAAAAAAATTAAACTAAAATGGTCAGTTCCTAATTAATCAAAGACTGAGTAAAGCATATGCAACTAAAGTCTGTTAGGCACAACACGTCTTCAAACATATGCTGAGAATTCTCAACTAAAAAATTCAAAAATGTACGGGGCTGGAGAGATGGCTCAGCTGTTAAGAACACTGGTTGTTCTTGCAGAAGACCTGAGTTCAAACCCCAGCACCCACATAGCAGCCAACAACTATCCATAACTCCAGTTCCAGGGGATCCGACAGCCTCTTCTGTCCTCCAGGGGCATTGCATGACACGGGTCCACTTATCTACACAAAGGCAAAGCATGCATACACATAAAATAAAAAAATAAAATATTAAAAAAATTTTTTAAAAATTCAAAATGTGACATTTATTCAGCACCAATGTGAAACCACAAATGGAAAATTCCACCTCTGATCCTATATGATGGGTCACAGTCAAAAATGTAGACACACATGGGGCTGGAGAGATGGCTTAGCAGTTAAGAGCAATGGCCGCTCTTGCAGAGGACCTGGGTTCAGTTTCTAACACCTAATTGGTAGTTAACTACTGTCAGGTGGCTAACAACTGATGTGTAACTCCATTTCCAAAGGATCAGATGGCCTCTTCTGGCCTCCACAGGTATTGCATGCACGGGTACATTTACATTTCAGGCAAAATACTCCTACACATTAAAAATAAGCTGGGTGTGGTGGTGCACGCCTTTAATCCCAGCACTCGGGAGGCAGAGGCAGGTGGATCTCTGTGAGTTCCAGGCCAGCTTGGTCTACATAGTGAGTTCCAGGCCAGCTGGGGCTACAGGGAGACCGTCTCAAAAAGACCAAAAAAAAAAGAAAGAAAACACACTAAAAATATATAAAATTAACCTTAGGCTATGTGAAGCATCAATTAATTTCATATTTACAAGTTTCATCTCCAAGATAATTATGTACATGCAATTATTCCAAAGCCCAAAACCAAAACGCTTCTAGGTATTTTGGATGAGATACTCAACCTTTACTAAAAAATCCCTCAGAAAATGTGGTATGCCCCCTTCTACCACTAACAATACAAAAAGAAAAAAGAAAACTGAATTTAGAGAGGTGGTGGGGTTTTTTTTCCAATAAAAAAAATTTCATACATGTATAATGCACGATGCATCTTTGTCTTATCCACCCTCCAATCCCTCCCTCCGCTTCCCAACTCGCCAACTTATCTCCCATTTCCTTCCCAACATCATTTTTTTTTTAATCCATTAAGTCCAATTAGTGATGCCCATGCATGCATGTACAGGGTTATCCCCTGAGGCACGGGCAACCTTACCAACAATAGTCACCATCCCACAAAGAAAAGTCACTCTCTCCCTTCAGCAGTCATCAACTGCCATTAGCTCTTCAGCTAATTCCTAGGAGTGACTATTTGTTTATGATTGGTTTTGATCACGGTGTTAGGTATTGAACATAGGGCCACATATAAGAGCCAATGTTTATAATAATTTATCTCTGTTGGTCTGGATAGAGCTATATTAAACTGACAAAACAGAAGTAAAAAGTTAGTATGACTTGTTTCCTAAGATAATGTATGTGTAAATTGAGTACCCTGAGTCTCCACTTGGCTCAGAACTGCAATACCTTGAAGCCCAATATGTCGTATAGGCAAGGTGACATACCACTTTTTTATTCCTGTGTGTGGTGATGCATTCCCTTAATCTTAGCACTCATGAGGCAGAGGCAGGTGAATCTCTGTGAGTTCTAGGTCAACTAGAGCTAATAGTGAGATCCTGTCTCAAAATAAAATAAGTATATTTGTTTCAACTAAGAAAATACAGCTTCTCAGTTTTATGATTATGTTTCCATTAATTTCTAACAAAAACCACCAAAAAAAGAAAAAAGAGACTCCTTAAGATTTCCTCCTATACGTGAATTACTGATTCAGTATAAATATTTTAAAGTCAATAAAAGAGATTCAGCCAGGCATGGTAACATGCCTATAACATGCCTATAATCTCAACACTGAGAAGGCTGAGCCAGGAGGATCACGACTTTGAACCTAGCCCAGGCTACATAATGAATTCCTAGCAAGCCTGGTCTATACAGTGAGACAAACGAAAAAGAAATGGAGAAGGAAAGGGAAGAAAAGAAGACAAAGTGGAGAGAAGAAAAAGAACTCCAAAGAGACATTCACAAACACTAACAGATTGAGATCAGAGAGTTAAAAACATGTTCAGTTCATTCCCTTCCAAGGGTGTGGGAGCCACTTAAAATTGGTCATTAGAGGAGCCCAGAGACGATGGGTTGGGACTATGCAGACATGCCTGCTTTCTTGAGATGGCAGAGGCTCAGTAAGTCTTTTTCTGAGACCTGGATACGGACTGCAGCAGACACTCTTCCCAAAGTTACAGGCTGTGTCTGCCTGAGGAAGGAGAGATGGAGTGTACTCTCATTCTCCTGGACACTGGGTTCCCCGAGATTGTTTCATCACAGGACATACAATAAAAGCAAATGATTCTTCAGGCCTATAGATACCACACCACGGGGCTGTGGAAATGGCTCAGAGGCAAACCACTGGCCTAAGCACAAGCACGAGGAGGGAGTTCAGATCTCCACATAAAGCCAAGCAGGTGCGGTGGCTGTCTGCAGCCCCAGTGTTCAGGAGGCAGAGGCGGGCTCCAGGGGAAAGCTGCTAGCTCGGCCAGCAGACTGGAGCTCTGCCTCAGTTAGTAATGGAAAGCAGTCAAAGAGGACGCCCAACATCGACAATGGGCGCAGCATGCACATGTGCATACACAAGCACACCACACACATGCACATAAAGAATACATCCTACATTACTTCCTATGTTTCTTCAGTCTACTGTCAAGATTGGAGTAGGTGTTCTTACGGCTTTTAATGTCCTGAAAGTCTTTGAGCAAGTGTTTGTCACAGCCAATACTTGGACACTTTTTATTATTTTTATTTTTTTGGCAATGCTGGGGATAAAACCCAGGGCCATATATATGCAAGACAAGTGTTTTACCACGAAGCTACGCCTCCAGTCCCTAGTTATCCTTTTTATTTATTTGCACTCATGATTACAGACTGTGCCTTGCTTATTCACCAATGTATCACCACCTAGCACAGAGCCTGATACACAGAACCTTAAACATCTGCTGAACGAATCAAGTCAACAAGTATATGGTCTCTTAATTCAAGATTATATGTCACGAAAAGCCACTAACAGCCTGGTTCTCCTTACTTAGATGGAAACTAAGATCTTATTCTACTTCAGTCGAGAATCAACCTGGAAAGGAAAACATGAAAAATAAGCAACTAGAAGAGCAGTATTGAATGGCAGAGCCTATTTTCCAAGCCATGACTTAGGATAATGGATCCCTGACAAGGGATACAGATCACCTCAAGAAAGGGTTGGAAGGCAGTGACAAGCGGATCTCTGTGATATGAGGCAAGCCTGGTCTACATAGCAAATTCCAGGCCAGCTGGAGTACAGGGGGAATCCTGTCTCAAAAAAAAAAAAAAAAAAAAAACAAACCCACGAAGAATGTAGCTAGACTGAGCAAGAAAGAAAAAAAAAAGTCCCACAAACTACAAAGGTGGCCAAAGAAGTCTGCGTAGCAGTCCAAGAACTTCCAGGAAAAGGAACAGGAGAGTATTAATAAGCACCTTGAGGGCCTGACTCAAGAAGGCAAGCTCTAGACTACGGGGGCATCCCAAGCACAAAGAAATCTAAAGCACAGGCAGCAAGTGAAAAATGCTTTCACAGGACCCACACAGCTTGCTGAGGTAGGAGCTGTCGCTATACCACGGCAGTGGAAGAACATGTAACCAGGTACTGAATCAGTGTCCTAGGGAAAAGAACACACCTTTTAGGGGAACAAAGAACGCAAGGTCACATCCTGGCTCTATCTCTTACTATGAGTAAACTCCAAATGAGCCTCAGATCCCAAAACTGTAAAACAGAGCTATTGTAGCTCCATCTAGTTTTTTGAAAGACTCTAGTGGAGCTACACAGACATCTGGCACCAGGCAGGTGTTATTAAAAAGAAAACACCAGAGATAAGAAAAATGCCTGAGAAGAAAATTAAAATTTGATAAAGCAGCTTTGGGAAGAGACAGAAAATAGAAAAATTTAGCCCATTATACAAATACACTTTACAAATACACTTCTACCTATCTATCCAAAAAGAAAGTATGGAAAATCTCTTCATAGTGAAGTATACCAAAGCAAAATAAATTTAACACAGAAAATTTGAAATACCTAGAGCCAGGCACTGTGGTACATGCCTGTAATACCAGATACTCAGATAGCTGAGGCAAGAGAGTCACAAACCACAAGCTTGCCTGGGCTACATAGGGAGTTCAAAGCCATCCTGCACAAAATTTGTCTCAAAATAAAAATAAAGGACTAGGAATATAGCTCAATGGTAAAGCACTTGCCTAGAAACAGGTCCCTGGTTCAAACTGCACTACTGAAAATATAAAACAAAATAGCCTAGAAATTATAACTCAGCCTGATGGTACATGCCTATAAACCTAGCACTTGGAAAACTGAGACAAGAGTGGAGAGTTCAAAGCCAGACTGGGCTACACAGTCAGGTGATAGCTAAACAAGTACTTACCAAGAAAGAGGATCTTGTGAGACACATTCCACACAGAATAATTTAGAAACTCCCTCGGGAATATGAAACCTGGGTTTTCTGTAATAATTTCCATAATCTGTTCAATACAGCACCAATTCTGTTTCCTCCTGTGCTGAACGTCACACTAAGAAGTCTTTAGGATTCAAATTTACAATCCTACATTCAAGTAACGTCAAGATGGGTTTGTTCCCTTTCTCGGTGACTTTGTAACTCCACTTCAAATACTTTACTCACTCACAATGTCTCATACTCAGACGCCATTTGTATTCACTTGATATTACAAACAATCTGAAAACCTTAGCTATCCCCAACTTCCTCCTCTCCAGTATAAGATTAGCATGTATATATGAACGGTACGCAGTTTTAGATAGTGGCACTTTCTCCAAGGACAGTGGTTGATGGCATTAGAACATACTCACATCTTGGCTCAGTGCAGAAAAGGTTTTCTGGAGATCCTTGGCAAATTCCAAATTATGCAGTACTTCTTCATACTTCTCCACTGCTTCCTACCAGACAAAGTAAGAAGACGGCAGCTCTGTGGTCAGCGTAGCACAAAAATGTCAAAAATAAATGTTCCTTAAATTGCTAACAGAAGGCTGGAGAGATGGCTCAGTGGTTCAGAGCGATGGCTGCTCTAGCAGAGGACCTGGGTTCAGTTTGCAGCACCCACATCAGGTGGCTCACAACCACTTGTAACTCCAGCTCCAGAGGATCTGATGTCTGTTTCTGGCCTCTGTGGGCAATCCCATGCATTTGCATACACACATACAGACACACGCATATACACATAAATAAAAATAAATCTTTTTTTGCCTAGAGAGATGGCTCAGTGGTTAAAAGCACTGACGGCTCTTGCAGAGGACGCCAGTTTGATTCCCAGCACCCACATGGTGGCTACGAACTGTCCTTAACTCCAGTTCCAGGGGAATCTGAAGCCCTCTTCTGATCTCCGCGGAATTGCATGACACGGGTGCACTCACATACATGCAGGCAATACACTCGTACACTAAAAATAATAAAGTATTTAAAATAAATAAATAAATCTTTTTTAAGTTGTGGGGCTGAAGAGATGGTTCAGCAGTTAAGAAGCACTGGCTGTTCTTGCAGAGGACCCAGGTTTGGTTCCCAGCACCATGGCAGCTAACAACTGTCCATAACTCCAGTTCCAAGTGATCTGATACCATCTTCTGCCCTCCGTAGACACTGCACACAAATGTGCACTTACATACATGCAGAAGATACTCATACACATAAAAATAATTTTTTAATTATTTTTAATTGTGTCTATGTGCATGCGTGCGTGTGTATGCATGCAAGTGAATGCCAGTGCCCATGGAGGTCAATCTCCTGGAGCTGGAGTTGTAGGCAGTCATGAGCTTGCTGGCACACCCTTGTAATCTCAGCATTAGGGAGGTACAGACAGGTCCCTGGGGCTTGCTGGCCAGTCAGCCTACCCCATTTCCCAAGGTCCAGGCCAATAAGAGACCCTGTCCCAAAAAAACCAATGTGAGGCTGAAGAGCTGGTTCAGTGGTTAACAGCACTGGCTACTCCTGCAGAGGACCCAAGTTCAGCTCCTAGTGGCTACAACAGTCTGTAACTCCATTTAAGTGTATGAGTGTGCTTGCATGTATGTAAGTACGCCCATGTCGTGCAAAGATTGCGGAGGCCAGAAGAGGGCGTCAGAGCCTTTGGAACTGGAGTTACATACAGCTTTTAGCTGCCATGTAGGTACTAGGAATCGAACCCAGGTCTTCTCGAAGAACAGAAAGTGTTCTTAACAGCTGAGCCACCTCTCCAGCCCTGTAAGGTTAATTTTTGAAAGGCTAGACATCTAAGCTGTAGATAGAGCTCAGCAGAGCTTAGAATGTACAAACCCAGAGTTCAATCTGCAACACCAAGGGGGAGGCCGGTAGCTATTAGATAAGCGAACTTACAAACAAGAAACATGGCAATTCAGGATAGAAAAGTAGAAAGAGTATGAAAGAAATTAAAGGAAGCAACTGCAGAAACCAGCTACAATGAATAGACTTTACAGCCAGGTGTAGTAGCAAGCACCTTTAATCGCAGCACTCAGGAGGCAGAGGCAGGTAGACCTCTGTTGAATTTGAGGCCAGCCTGGTCTACATAGCCACTTCCAGACCATCCAGGGTTAAATAGTAAGACCCTGTCTCAAAATAAAAAATAAAAAAAAAAAAACAAAGAAACAAAAAAAGATTATATTTTAGAGCAGAAACGTCAGGTTTACATTAAACCAGTGAAGCGTTGAAAACTGTGGCGTATACTGTCTTCCAGTCTACCCTAGCATAAACTTCAATGTATATGGTAACTCAGCTGCTCTATCTTCACACTATGTAACATGTACCCAATCTAACAGTACACAGGAAGAGAGCCAGACTGTATCACGGAGTCAACAAAGATGACAGTCACTAGAGAGAACCACCAGATTCTACCTCCTTTAGGCCTATTAAGTCTCCAGCTTCACTGAATTCACCTCAAGTTTTATCAAAAAAGGAAACCAGTAAACCTAATGAGGATCATAAAACACTTACCAACTGGTCTGGGTTAAGCTGTTCCCCATTTTTTAGGCGGTCTTTGTAATCTTCCAGTTTGAGCTACGAAAGAGAAACATGCATCTACAATATAGTCTGACAGGAAACTGAAGCAAATAAAGTTCTTGAAACAAGCTGACTGCCAGATTACCATTTCACTACAAACACCAACTCTGAATTCCAGGTATGGGGGAAAAATCACATAGAAGAGTATCTATCTGCTCTCTTTTTTCCATGAAGTTGATCCAGGAGATTCTGGCTACACTGCACTCCTTATGACTTGGTAGCTATTCCAAGGGTGTGTAGCCCAACCAGTGCTGACCTCAGGCTCCAGGAGTTTGCCTGCAACATCTTAAGGATGCAGTACCCTCAGCTATAAGAACAGGTTGGAAACTATATTAGGTACAAGCCACTGAAGCTGGAATGTAGTGACGGATATTTCAATCATCTCAACTACCTCTACTGTTACAACAGGAAAGTGTCTCTAGCAGGTGTAATGTTCATACATCAAGCGTCATTCCTGCACAAAATGTAGAGCAGGGGACAATGCTTGTGGTAACAGGGCAGTGTGGCAGATGCTTTGTTCATCATTCATTTAATGCTCGTCCTTCTGAGTTATTAATCTTCACTTTAGATGAAGGAATGGGCTAGAGGGTAGAGTTCCTACCATGTATAACAATTCTCAATGAAGAGCCTCACAAGAATGACTTTCTACGTGAACAACAGAATTTCTGGAGATTTGGTGTTCCAGTAAAAATTATTCAACAGTTAAGGTTCATTTGGGGAAAAAGGATCAAGAAACACCTCCTAAGAACATAACCTCCTGGGGTTGGAGACACTCAGCAGTTAAAGAATGCATCCTGCTCTTCCAGAGGACCCCAATTCAGTTACGGGCATCCACATTAGGCAGCTCACAACCACCTGTAACTTTAGCTCCTGGGCACCCAACCTCTTCTGGCCTCTGTAGGCACCCTCACACACAAAATATACACACAAATAAAAATAAATAAGGGTTGGAGAGACAGCTCTGTGGTTTAAGAGCACTTGCTGCTCCTGCAGAGGACCTATATTCAGTTCTCAGCATCCACATGAGGGCTAACAACCACCTATTAACTCTAGTTCCCAGTGATCTGACATCCTCCTCTGGCCTCCACAGGTCCCAGGCATGCACACGGAGCGCATATATACATACAGGCAAAGCACACATAAGATAAAAATAAATACAGTATTTAAAAGCACTGACCCTGGAGAAGTTCCCCAAAATCAGGCACAAAGGAATCTGCCAGCGTGTTTGGGATTTTTAGTGTGTAGCACCATGAAGGATGAAAGGGAATACTTAAAGGACACAAAGTGCTGCATCATTAGACTATGAAAACACTGGAGCTGACAGAGAATACTTGTGGGGGAAAAACAAGGTGGTTTAACAAGATACAGACTTCTTGGCATGGTAGGATAAATTCAGTCTGCATGCCTAGCAATTGAGATTTTGGTTTGAGACAGAGTCTTCCTGTAGCTCCAGCTGTCGATATGTAGACCAACCAGCCTCAATCTCAGAGATCCACCTACCACTGCCTCCTGGGTGCTGGGTTTAAAGGCATGTGCCACCACGCTTGGCACAACTGAGATTTTTATATTAGCTTATATGGCAATTATAAATAATCCCTTTCCAGAATCTTTAAACAAGGTATTTAAGTTTTTAAAAAATATATTACTCTGAAATAGCAAACGTAGCAAATCTGTGTGTGAGTGTGTGTGCCTGTGTGTGTGTGTGTCAGGTCAGAGGGTAAGAAGTGGAGGCTGGTTCTCTCCTTCCACCATGGACTCCAGGCCTGAACTCAGGTCATCGGCTTGTGCAGCTTTCCCAGCCGTGCCATTCTTACCAGCTTCGGTTTTTTTTTTTCTTTTAATAGCTTTTATTTTATAATCAGTCTATTTAAAGCATGGGGATTTAAGTCAGTCATTTGTCCCAATCTAGAGGAGTTCAATGGGGGCAATTATCCCCTAGAGACATCAGGCACTGTCTAGAGACTGAGGTCATCACAACTTGGAGGGTCTGAGGGAGGCAGTGTTTCTGCTACCAGTCTGTTGCCAACTGCCCCACAGTGCTCAAGCCAAGATCTACAACAGCTCATGCTTACACTACTCACTGCTTCCTGAAGTATGCTGCATTTCCCTAACAACTAAACTCTCTAATGTAGATACAAAAATGAAAGGACACCTTTCACACCAAATGTGGCATTGAAGATAATACCTGAGAGGCTGAAGCAATAGCTCAGCAGTTAAGAGGATTTCCTGCTCTTATAGGGGACCTAAGTTTTGGTTCCCAGCACCCAGAGACCTAAGTTTGGTTCCCAGTACCCAGGTCCTGCCAGAACTGTCAGTTCTAGGGTACCTGACACCATCTGGTCTCCACAGGCACCTGCACACACATACACACACATTTTTCTTTTTTTTAGGCAGGCGGATCTTTGTGAGTTCGAGGCCAGCCTGGTCTACATAGTGAGTTCCAGGACAGCTGGGGCTAAGGAGACCCTGTCTCAAAAAGACCAAAAAAAAGGGGCCAGATGTGGTAGTGCGTATCTTTAATTTCAGCACTCAGGAGGCAGAAGTAGGTAGATCTCGCCCAGTTCCAGGCCAGCCAAAGCTACATAGTAAGACTCTGTCTCAAAAAAATGAAACAAAACAAAACGAAGCAAAACAAACCAGGTGTGGTGGCACATGCCTGGAAGGCAAAGGCAGGTGGATCTCTGTGAGTTCAAGACCAGCATGGTCTACATAGTGAGTTCCAGACCAGCCAGGGCAGCATAGTGAAACCCTGTCCTTAAAAAAAAAAAAAAAACACTATACTACTCCACAAGCATTTGTAGGTTCCACCTACGTTGGGGTCTTCCTGTCTTAAAACACTTTCCCAGAGCTAGAAGCAAAATCATTGGTACTAGCAGCAGGCACTCAAAATTAAAGAGGTGCTACTGTTCAGTTGGAGAACTAGGTTACATATATGCAGTATCTCCACATGGGGAAACTCATTAACAAATCTCCATTAATAGGCCCCACACTGACTAGCTCTCAGTGTTAGAGAACCTGGCAGATCCAGATACACTCATCTTATCACACTAATAATCAACTGCATGCCTTCAAAAGATGCAACTGACCCTTCGGCACTAATGTCCTAGCTTCTAAAACACAGAAGGGAGTGAGGAGAGATGTAGCCAACCAGACCAAAACCTCTTCACAGCTGTCCACTAAAAGTAACTTTCCTAAGGTTTTACTAGGTCTTCAGCATGGGTTTAAGAGAATAGTTAACACTCAGCCTTCTTGTCTAAAGCAAGTGGGAATCATGACACAACAGCGGCTCCTGCGGAACTGTTTCACAGGCTACATGACTCAGGAAATGAGAAATGATCTGGATCTTTTTGGCAGCACTTACTGTAGTGTTAGGCTGCTAATAATCCCCAAGTCTCTTTATAAGGTTATCTACAGTACTTTCACCAATCTTGAACCAATACACAGCAACACAAAAATTAACGTTGAAACATTTTCTGGCTCATGGGAAAAACTTCCAACGACTGCAGGGACTGTGCTGCAATATCAAATGCTGCAGAAAGTCACAGGGGAAATGAGCTAAAACATCAGGCTAGGAGGCTAGGCCCCATGAAAGACAAACACTAACACCACACTCACGGGATTAATTGGCCCTAAAATATCAAGCTCTTCCGAGTTTCTCAAAAAGCAGAATGTACAATATTACTGCGAATAGTTATTCAGCTGGGTTGGCAAATAAAACAAACATTTAGCCTGGGTGCTTAACTGTTCCCAGACAACTAAATTCCAAAGTCAGTTAAATTTTCAGGAGGACCTGTTCTTTGATATAAAGAAATTGTCAACTCCTTAACCCTAATTTATGATCATGCATATGCAGGGAGCGGAGGGGGATGAGTTTACCTTCTTTTTCTCGATGTTTCTAATTTTGTGTTTAAGGCATATGAGTCCATTATCAATATAGGTTTCATATGCCTGGGAAGGAGATGCAGCAGGACTGAGAGTCGACTGCAAGGGGCTCAGGGCCCGCTGGCTTTCCCCGTGCTGACTGTGGTTCACTTGGGGCTTGGCGGACTTCATAGTCCCCACTCTTCCTTTCTCTGAATGTCCTGAAGGTGACCTGTAACCAAGAGGGGATAACGAGTGTTGCACTACTGAAACAGACGAAGCTTGAAGGATCGTGGGAAAAACCGTTAAGCACAGATTTGTAATGGGGCACAGCCAGCTTTGACTTCTCTAGCAGGTCGAAGCCGGTTTTCTTAAAGCGCTATTCCACAGAAATGAGCTCAAAACATAAGGGTGCTTCAGGCAGCGTACTTTCATGCCCGTACTAAGGTAATTGGCGGCAAGCACTAGCCAATGAAGTCAGCCTATAACAGGCCAAAGTTACAGCATAGGAATGCTTGAAGTTGTTCTAGTTCCAATCAAGACATGGCTTCTGAGCGCCTCATTCCTCCGAGTTTCTGTGCTCAAGAGACGACACACGGGGAAAAGACGAAAACCACTTTGCACACTGGGACCTCTTTCCCTGCACCTCCACCCAGCCGGCCCTCAACCTGCGGAAACTGTCAGTTTGGCTACCCAGGGCTACCCGAGCGCATAGCTCCGGGACACTAGCACCAAGTCCTCACAATCTGCAGCGAGCTGCCTTCCGGTGGGTTCGTACTCCCGCACAACCACGCACACCAAAGCGACTTGGAGCCCATCCAGTGCCCGCACCAGAGGCTCCAGGTACCGCGACGCCGGGCACTTCACCTCCGCCCCAGGCTTCCACCCCGCCCCCACACCCGCAGCGCCGCAGAGCCCGAGCCCGACAGGCCCTGCCCGCCACCCTCGTCCAGCCCCGCAGCAGGCCACGCCAGGGGCGACCGACCACCGCGGGGACCCGGCGCGGAGGGAGCCGCACCCCGCCGCCGCTCCGCTTCACCTCCCCGGCTGCCTCGGAAAGCGCGCGAGACCCGGGCGTGAACCCGCACTCCGCGGCCTCCCCCCGGCCCGCCCTGCGCCCTCTGCCAAGCCCACGCGGACTATAAAGAAACCCTCCAACTCCACGGCTCGTGCGGAGGTTCGCAACAGCGCGCAACTTATGTAGGCAGCGTCCCGACCGACTCCGCCCATATACCGCCCACTTCCTGTGTCATGCCCCGCCCTCGCGCACGTGCTCCCCTCAGGACTCTCTCCCCCTCCACCCCAGCCACCTGCTTCCGGTTCTCGCCCAAACAGGCACACCCTGCCTCCTTCCGGTGTTCCCCCTTTTTCCCCACCCCACCCACTCTGGCGTCTTGGGGCTCCTCGGCCCGCCCCCTTCCGGTGCCTCGGACCCCTTGTCCCTAACAGGTCCTTTCCGGTGCTCCGTCCCGAGGGCCTGCGCCGGGACTGTGCGTTCCTTGCTTTGGTGGGGACATGGCGCGTGCTCCGAAGGCTGTGCACAGCACTGGCACCTGGTGGCGAGTGAGGCCAGTGGGTTAAAGCCTGCCGTAGCTGGAGCAGCGACCTTGAGCAGGTGACTTCAGTGCCTGGAGAAAAGGTAACAGTCCGTGTGCAGAATGGCTGTGAGTTCGTTTAGGTGCGCACTCTAGAATGTGAGGGTACCTTCGCCACTCTTCCCAGAACCTTTTCCACTGCAGAATGAGGAAGGATTACCTTTTCCTGTAAGAGTAGAACGCCCCAGGACTGCAGAGCGGAGCAGGTGGATGGGGACGTGTGCGTCAAAGCTTCCTGGGAAGGAGGTTTTTGACGTTTTGTTTTAAAGCCTGGTGTGGTGACTTACTCGTGTCATCTCAGCACTAGAAGGCCTGGACAGGACCCTACCGGAAAAAATATAAATTAGATGGAGGATGGATGGATGGATGGATGGATGGATGGATGGATGGATGATAGATGATTGATATAGATGATAGCTATATATAGATAGATGTTAGATGCATGGATGGATGGATGATGGAGGATTGATAGATGATTGACAGATGATTGATAGGTGATAGGTTATTGATATAGATGATTAGATGATAGATAGATAGATGATAGATAGATAGATGATAGATAGATAGATAGATAGATAGATAAATAGATAAATAGATAGATGATGGAGGATTGATAGATGATTGATAGGTGATAGGTGATTGATATAGATGATATAGATAGATGATAGATGGATGATAGATAGGTAGCTGCATGGATGGATGGATGGATGATGGAGGATTGATAGGTGATAGGTGATATGGATGGATGGATAGATAGATAGATAGATAGATAGATAGATAGATAGATAGATGATAGATATATGATGATTGGTAGATAGATAGATTTTTTTTTAATCCAAGAGTGATAGCGCCCAGCACTCAGAGGCAGAGTCAGGTGGATCTCCATGAGATTGAGGCCAGCCTAGTCTACACAGTGAGATCCAGGCCAACTGGGGTTACAGGGAGACACTGTCTCCAAAAAAAAGGGAGATGGCTCAGCAATTAAGAGCACAGGTTGCTCTTGCAGAGGACCTGGGTTCAGTTCCCAGCACCCACATGGTGGCTAACAAGTGTCAGTAACTGCAGTTCCGTGGGTTCTGACACCCTCTTCTGGCCTCCATGAGTTTGCATACATGGTGCATTCACATACATGTAAGCAAAACACTCATACACATGAAATAAAAAATTAAAAAACCAAAAAAGTAAATAAATGGTAACAATAAAATAAAAATCAATAACTTGTCCCAACTTGTGTCCAAATATTTCACCAAATAGAATTCTTTTAGGTCCTCTCCTTCAGGCAGGCAACGATAAAATTACTTAGACTAAAAATAATAATGCCAGCCAGGCATGGTGGTGCATGCCTGTAGTCCCAGCACTTGGGAGGCAGAGGCAGGAGGATCTCTGTGAGTTCAAGGCCAGCCTGGTCTACATAGTGAGTTCCAAGACAGCTGGGGCTACAGGGAGACCCTGCTTCAAAAAAAAAAAGACAATAATAATAATGATGATGATGATGATGATGATGGTGATGGTGATGATGCCAGGGCTGGAGAGATGGCTCGGTGGTTAAGAACACTGGCTGTTCTTGCAGAAGACCCGGGTTCGAATCCCAGCACCCACATGGTAGCTAACAACTGTCTGTAACTCCAGTTCCAGGGGATCTGATGGCCTCTTCTGTCCTCCTCAGGCATTGGAGGACATGGGTGCACTTACATACATGCAGGCAATACACTCATACATACAAAATAAAAATAATAAAATATTTTTTGGGTCTTTTTGAGACAGGGTCTCCCTGTAGCCCCCAGCTGTCCTGGAACTCACTATGTAGACCAGGCTGGCCTTGAGCTCACAGAGATCCGCCTGCTTCTGACTCCTGAGTCCTGGGATTAAAGGCGTGTGCCACCACGCCTGGCATAATAAAATATTTTTTTAAGAATAACAATGCCTTGCATGGTGGCACATACCCTTAATCCCAGCACTCAGGAGGTAGAGGCAAGCTGATCTCTGTGAGTTCGAGGCCAGCCTGATCTACATAATGAGTCCAGCTGGGACTATAGGGAGACCCTGTCTCAAAAAACAAACAAAACCAAAAAATAAAAAATAATACACTCACTTCATTCAAAGACATTGGTTGGACACCTGCTGTGCCGGGAAACATGGTCGTAAGTGTGAGCAAGATAATTCAGCCCCTACCCCCCTGGAACTGAGTGGGAACTCATAAAAGCTGCAGGCAGGTATAAGTAACAAGACAGTGAGTCTAATAAAGCAGATAAACAAAAATACTGGTCTTAACATGGGATAATTTGATTTCTGAAAAATCAGCCAGTCTTTGCCTCTCTTGAAAATGTGCAGGTCTTAAATAGGCAATGTCTGGCAACAGTCAGGTCCCTGCAGGGATGGTAAAGCTACAGTCACTTATAATTGATGCAGTTGCTGGTCCTTGATACTGGATAGATTAATTTACCATAAAATTTAAAAGCTGGTAGCATCTGAGTGGAGAAATGAGATGATCTTGAATATTTTGTTATAGATGCTAGAAGTCTGATTGTCAGCACCCTACAAGACTGTATAGAGAGATGAGGTAATGGGGGGATTGAGGGAAATGTCAGAAGGCCAAGGAAAATGGAGACCTCAGGGAACATGTAAAATCCCCCCAGAAAAGCCTAACAGCTAAGAACGCTGGGAAATAGACCCAGTGCAGCTTTCTACTTAGGTTGTTTGAAATACTGTACTTTTGTGTACTTTCTCTTTTTTTAAGATTTATTTATGTTTATGTGTATGAATGTTTTGCTTGCATGTATGCCTGTGCACCACGTGGGTACAGTGACCTCAGAGACCACAAGAACTGAGAGCTGCCACGTGAATGCTAGTCCTCTGTAAGTGCAGCAAGTGCTGTTAACCACTGAGCCGCTTCTCCAGTCTCACTTTCATATTTATAGGCATCTCTTCACATATATAATAAGAGAAAGTTTTCGTAAAAGTGCAATAGACGTCAGGGAGGAAGAAAATTTGCCATAATCACATACATATGCATAATTAATTTAATTAGTATACAGAGTAATGGGTTTCAGCCCAGTGTGGTGGCACACGTCTTTAATCCCAGTACTAAGGAGACAGGAGAAAGAGGCAATTGCTATGAGTTGAAGGCCAGCCTGGTCTACAAAGCAAGTTCCAGCTGAGCCAGTCAGCCAGGGCTACATAGTAAAACCCTGTCTCAAAAAAAAGATTGGGTCTTATGGTTTTTTCATACATAACGTCATTACATTTTGCTCTTATTCAACCCTCCAGTGACCTTCCCCATCCCTCCCCCCCTCCCCCGTTGATCCTTGTTGGGAGCCTCTGTTATACAAAGTGGAAGCCCCTTCACACCGGACAGCTCATGCAGCTCGGGTTTATGTGCTGCGGGCTCCTTTCATAGTGGGGTGTCTTCCTGGCATCTTTCCTGTCTCTCATTTTGAAGTGTCCGCCACAAATGCTATAACATAAACATGGCCTTTGGCTCTAACAGGTACCATGTCTTCCTGTAATTTTTCCTAGCAGACAGTAGTCTGGCAGAAACCCACTTCTATATATAAATACAGTGCCTCACAAAGCATCTAACAGCCAAAGCTTTTACCACTACCCCCATGGTATAAATGTCTTAGAGATTTGGGCTGCAGAGAATTGGGCTGCAGAGAACTGGGTTGCAGACAATAAAGCGGCCCAATCTCTCCGGGGGGCACACTCCCTTGTTACCGACCCACGGACACCCTAGCTTTCGCCATCTCCGTACTCTTCCCTGCGTGGTTCTGTGGCCAGGAACCTTGCATCCTGAGGAAGAGTACACGGGTGAAATAGAGACGGGATTTCGGCTGAACAATGCTTCAGTAGCAGAGGAAGCTGTCTGCACCAGAGACCCGGGACTCGAGCTGCCGGGAAAAGCCTGCCGGGCATCCACAGCCGCGGCCAGAGATGCCTGTGGTCAGACCCACCAGCGACTAGCCAGGTGTGGCAGGGGCCCCAAGATCCAGGGGCCCGGAGCAACCCCGAGATATCCACGCACACCACGCCTGAGGCCCATAGAGACACGGAGAAGCCAACGGGACCAGACCAGCTTTCCTCCAGACGCACAGCGGGAGAGCACGCACACACCTACGAATCCGCCCTGCCATCCCGAGAGTGCGCGCAGGGACCCCAAGCGCCCAGAGAGAGCGCATGCCCCATAGATCCTCATTTCAAATATTTTTGAGAGAATTCCTAGTCTCTAAGATTAACATTTTCTTGGCTTTTGTTTGTTTTTGAGACAGCGTCTCCCCATAGCTCCAGCTGACCTGGAACTTGCCACGCAGACCAGGCT